CACAGCAGTATAGGTACCCTGGAGTCTGGAGAAGAGGGGTGGGGCCTGAGAACTTCCCTTTCTGACAAGTTCCCAGGGATACTGATGCTACTGGTCCAGGAACAATGTGTTTAAAAAAATCACTGTCCCAGGGGTGCCTGGGTGACTCAGTCGGTTAAGCATCCAACTCTAGATTTCAGTTCAGGTCATGATCTCACATCTCATGAGTTTGAGCCCCGCATCAGGCTTCATGCTGACAGTGCAGAGCCTGCTTCGGATTCTCTCTCCCTCTCTCTCTCTTCTTCCCCTGCCCCCACCATGAAAATAAGTAGATAAACTGAAAAAAAAATCACTGCCCAGAGTGTGTCCCTGCCCGCACATGTGGAGCAGGTGCTACCACGTCAGTGTGCCAAGAAAGCCAGGGCATCCAACTTCCTTTTGAGCAGGTGGTGCAGGCAGAAGTGCCTAGGCAAGGACTTAGTCACATGGTTACACCTGGCTGCAGGAGAGGCTGGGCAATGGCGCCTGTAGCGGGGCAGTCTGTGCCCTAAAAAGGGAAAAGGGAAAAGCTTGCTTGTGGGAGACGATTAGAGGTTTACGGAGTGGGCCCTAGGATTCACATGGAGATGAAGAGAGAGGGTCCAAGCACTCAGTGGTGAGGGACAGGTGTGAAAAAAAGATGCTTACGGTGCTTGGTTCTTAGTGTCATAGCGGCCCTTTATTCAAGGGGGAGGAGCCCAAGGCGGCCTGCAGGCATCAGCAAAGGCCGCCCGGGAAGGCAAGGCAAGAGCTCAGCTTTGAAGCAGGACTGCACTTGGCTGTGGTTGCCCATTCCTGCCTCGAAGACAGCTAGGTGTACTCCGCCATCTTTGCCCTCTTTGTGCCCCCAAGATGTTCATTCACTGTCCCTGTTGTTTTGTGGGTTGGGCCGGATGTTTTCCCAGGTCTCAGACTCTCTTTTTCTATCCTGTCCCCCAGGCGTCTTGGCTCTGGAGAAAGCTGCGTGGCAAAAGGCGGCTGGTGATGGCATTCTGCCTCCTGATGACTCTGTCTGCGGTGGCTGTCACTCGCTTCCCCCCACAGCATCCTGCTACTGGCCCAGACCCTGGTCCCATGGAGCCCCAGGAGGTAACGGGTGCCCTTGGCCCCCACAGCCAGCAGGCTCTGAGCTCCAGCTGGAGGCAGCGGGCAAGAGACCTAGGGCTCTGGAGAGGCTGGGCCTTGCCTAGCCCCATGTGTGCTGGGGAGCAAGGCCACAGAGGGCCAGTGGACAGAAGCAGGAAGTCCCTGGGAGGGGACAGCAGGCATCTAGGGAGGGTCAGGAGGGACATTACTTTGGCATCTCTAGGAGATTTGAGACTCAGTACCCGGCGTCTTGTGCTCCTGGGGGAGGATGAAGTTAGGAGTCCAGGAGCCAAAGACTTGGGTCCCCCCTGGCATGATGGTCTCATCAGAGAGGCACAGAATGAAACTGGCACCCTGGTTGGCCCCCTCACAGGACATGGCATGACGGCTTTACAGGCTTGGAAAGCTACCGCTGGACCGACCCTCCGGTCCCACCCAGCAGAAGGCAGGAATCTTCCAGGATTGACTGGTGGGCGACAAACAGGGCATCCCACACCATCTGCAGGGGCTCGTCGGTGGCCTGGCTCTGTTGGGAAGCTGCAAGGATCTGTCTGGTGTGAGGCTGAGACCCCTGGTCTGTTGACCGGCTTGAGGACCAGTAGGCAGGCTCCCCCGTGGCTCACAGAGCATGATGTGCAAATGCTCCGGCTGTTGGCCCAGGGGGAGGTGGTGGGCAAAGCCAGGGTGCCTGGCCATGGGCAGGTGCTGCAGGTTGGCTTCTCCAATGCGGGTGCCTCTCAGGACATGTCTTCTGGGCTCAGCCATCTCTGCTCCCAGGGGCTCTGCGGCCTGATCAAGAGGCCTGGGGACCTGCTGGAGGTCCTGGCCTTCCACGTGGACCGTGTGCTGGGGCTGCACCGGAGCCTACCTGCTGTGGCCCGGAACTTCCAGAGCTCCCTGCTGCCCTACCGATACACAGATGGCAGCACAAGGCCCGTCATCTGGTGGGCGCCCGATGTGCAGCACCTGGGTGACCCAGACGATGACCAGAACTCTCTGTCCTTGGGCTGGCTCCAGTACCAGGCCTTGTTGGCACGTGGCTGCAGCTGGCCAAGCCAGGCCCCCTGCCTGGGCCTCCACCACGCCGAGTGGGCACGCCTGGCACTCTTCGACTTCCTGCTGCAGGTAGGTGGGGCTGGGCATGGTGAGGCTGGAGGGCAGCAGAAGCAGGGGATTGGGGATGAATTGAGACACTGGAGTTGCCCGCTTGAGGATGGTTGGTGACTCCCCCTCCAATCTTTGTGTTTTGACCACCATGCACCTGTTTTCGTTAGTTTTCTGCTTTTGCATTTATTCATCCAGTGGTATGCTGGAACCAGCTCATGTGGGCTTACGAGAGCTGATTGCTAAAATTTTCAGGAATTTTGTGACCTGGTTGAGAAACACAGGCATTATTAAACATTAAATTCCATCAACTAACAATATGATAAGTTATTGTTGAAAAAAAGGTAATAAATGCTCAGAACCCATTAATTCCTAATGATTTCACTGTATTTTACTACAATCTATGCTTTTTAGGTTATTTGCATTTATATAGTAAATATTGTATGATGGTGAGCTACTGCACATCTCCTGTCAACTCCACATTCGGTCATGTTGGTAGCTTGAAATTGGCCAGGGTGGGAGTATTTACACCATGGGAGTCAGCAAATGCTACAAATATGGACTCCCCACTACTTCCAAGAGCTGGTTGTTAAACATTTATCTGCACATCACTGTTGATAATGTTATATCCTTGAATCAACTAGAATTGAAGGTGGTTGCCTAGTTTAAAAAAGAAAGGAAGTAATGGGGAGAGGGAGAGACATAGGAGGATAAAGGGATGATACTTGGGCACTGAAAAATGAGAAAGGACTCCAGCCACAAGGTCAACTGAGGTCCTTCCTCTGCCAGAAGTTAACCCTGGAGTTTCTGGGGATCCTAGGGAAGGATTGGCCAGTCAGGACACAGGAGTTAACTGGGGGACTGCAGGCATTGGCTATTTACTAACTGTAAACAGCATGGCTATTCTGGGGCCTGTGCACTGGATGTCAGCTGAGACATACGTGTGGAAATGTGTCCAGAAGGATATAAAGACAAAAAGGAAAGACAAAAAGCTCAAAATGGGTGAATATGTGTACTAGATGCAGACTGAGCCAGCCCCCGTTTCTGTAGCGATGCCTATTGAAGAAAGACACCAACATGAGCCCTAGATTCACCTACTGGGGTGAGTGGATGAGCCACAGGACAGGATTCAGGCAGCCAGGGGATGTCATGCTGTATTTGGTCCACACAGGGTTGGTCCACAATATGTTTTCAGAAAATTCTTAGACAACATGTAATACTTTGGAGATTTCCCCATAAAAATCCAGCTTCCTTTGAAACACTGGATGGTTTAGTAACATTGGGCCTCCCTTCCCATATGGCAGTAATCAGCCTGAGCTGAGTAGTCATGCCATGCTCTCCTTTTGGCCATAGGCCCTACCTCCTTATTTTCTGACATCCACCTCCTGCCCCTTCCCCAGAACCATGAATGCTACCTGTCAGTCAGTGGATATTTGTTTCCAGTCAGCGAGCTAACTGGTCTCCTGAGGTACTTCAGGCTCTTCCAGTCTGTCTCTAAGCTTTGTGGAAAGAGGAGTGTGGAGCTCAGTGATCAGTATGGGCTGACAGATAGACCTGGGCTTGAACCCCTCACTCCCAGACCCCTTCCTGCTGTAGGACACTGAGGAGATTACTTTGCCTCTTAGACATTCACTTTTCTTACATCTAAAATGGGACTGGATGTCCTGACCTCACTCCCTTGGACCTGATCATTATAATGTGTGGTAGCTTCTAATTGCCAACACCTGCATCTGTGGGCTTGCTCTGGGTGACATGTGACAGGCTGGGTGCTGGGGAACTAACGCTGTCCAGATAGTGTGGTCAACCATCCAGGTTGGGAAGGAGGTATTTCTCAGACGTAGGACTTATAGCCTGGGGCAAACAGGGAAGACTGGTCATGCTACTTCTAGGAGCAGCCTCCGGGGACTGATGGGAGCCAGTGTATAAAGAAAGCCCTGGCTCCCTGGCTGGGATGGCTCTTCAGTGTGTGTTATAAGTGTCTCAGAGTTCCCTGCAGTGGTCATTGTTCACCCTCTCTGTCTTACTTCTCTGCTCCCTGCTTATGTTTCTGGATTAGCTCACACACAAAAAAATGGCTACCGCTTGAATCCTTGTCTTGAGGTCTGTCTCTGGGAGAGCCTGGCCCATGTCAGACAATAACACTGACCTTGTGTGGTTTCTGCATGCAAGATGGTTCATGTAATACAGTGCCCGGAGGGTGGCACATGCATAATTATAAGCAGGCACTGTCCCCAACACTTTATAGGAATTAACTCATCCAATCCTCATAGCAGCCTTACAAGTGATATACATTTATTCCTATTTAAAGTTGAGAAATTAAGGTCCGAGAGGTTAAATTACTTGCCCGAGGTCATGGCTGCTGAAGTTGACACAAAGCCTAATGGTTGCCTAATGGTCTGCCTCCAGAGCTCACCTTCTTAATCACAGAGTCACTATTCAGCTGGCCATGAATGAGGCAGGAAGAGGGGACCCTTGCAGGGATGCCTTGGAGCGGTGAGACTGGAGGCGCCTCCTCGCAGAGCCCCAGCCGAAGTGCACGCAGCAGTCTTCTGCTCCACACAGAGCTCCTCTGTCCATCTCCTAGAGTTGCGGTGTGGGACCCTTCCTCAGCTGCCAGGTCCTGTTGTAGGGACGGAAGTCTTGGCAGCCAAGGCACACGCTGGTTGGGTGTGTGGTCTGACGCTACCTGGCTGGCCTTGTGCCACCTCTTCCTTGGTTTGCTGAACACCAGTCAAGTCAAACACCCCTGTCTGGCTGATGCTGCCTTCCTAGAAGCCACTGGCAAGTCAGAGGGAGGCGAGGTTTCAGGATGTGGGTTTCCCAGCACGGGAACCTGAGGTGCCTCCTGACTGGGGACTGAGCACAAACTCCATGTACAGTCCACTCTGTGGTATGTTTGCTTGTTTGTTTTGTTTTATCTAATATAAACCCTTGCTTTTTTGTGTCTGTGTATCACAACATACCATCTACCCAGACACAAAATACACAAGCACTGCGCACATACACATTCTTTATACTCCCCACAAATCATACCCTGTGCGTTGCAAATCCCATCTAAAACCTTGCATTAGTTAGTGATTGCTGAAATAATGCTAACAAACTTCTCTAAAATCATTGGCTTAAAACACCAGCTCTTTAATTCTTTCTCCAGGGTCTGTGGGTCAGTTGGGCTCAACTGAGCTTAGCTGTAAGCTGTGGGGGGTGGGTTCACGTCTGCCCTTGGTGTCTCATTCTGGAGTGCCGGCTAGAGGGGCACAAGTTCCCCGGGGCAAACCCTTCTCCTGGGAAATGGAAGAAACCCTAGAGTTCAACAAAACTGCAAAAGCACATTTAAGGCCTCCACTAACGTCACTTCCTCTAGTATTCCGTTGGTCAAAGCAAGTCAATGTCAGGGAAGGGAAGTACAATCTGCCCAGACTGGAAGGGAAAGAGGAGCAAATATTTGTTGGGCAAAAATGAAATCAGTTACACATACCCCAAACGCATACATTGTACACTTCTAAATGAACCTTATGTCCCCACATATTCTATAGCCACCCACACATGCATACCATTCACATGAACCATACACCCACATATACTCCATATGATGCCCAAACACTGCTGTGGGCAAGTGGGGCTCAATCCTGTGGAGAACTTTGAGTGAGTGTGTAGAACGTGCACCAGAGTTGTCTTACTCAAGGGCCAAAGCTGGGCTATTTACCCCCTAGCTCCCAACTGTCAGAGGTTGAGACTGCTCCTAAGGGCATTGACCTCCTAGGGGCACTAGCAGCCTGGCTCATGTGCTGGCCAGACAAACAGGATCCTTCAGCCAGAAAGAGGCTAAGGCAGAGAGCCACGGCACTTTCTGTAGAAAGCCATCGATATGTACAGGAATAGTGAGTGCCAGGGGGTAGGGATGGGATACTAACAGCATCTGCTACTCCTAATGAATAAATCAAGAACATGTTTTGGAGGCCAGTATGACCAGGAGGATCCTCTCAGTTTATAAGCTGGTCTCTCTAGGAAAGATACAGTACTAATAGTGAGTAGGTACCCTCCACTGCACCCCAGGCTTGTCATAGGAAGAAGTAGGACTAAGAGAGAGCCCACCACTTCTGAATAGATCAGTGAGAAGCTGCTTCTACTCAGGTGGACAAAGTGGGTGGGAAAGTGTGTATGTGTGTTTGGTGGGTGGGGCTCACAAAACTCTGCCTAATGGCAGGGGCCACCTGCAGCCAGAGTTGCATTCAGTCTGGTAAAAGGTAGAAAGTCCTTCTCCTCCTGGGACAGTGATGATGGAACAGCCAAGCATGGTCAGGAAAAGCTAATGACCATCACATTCACTGTAAGTCAAATTCAGCCTGAGAGGAGTTGTGCCTGGGACCTAAAAGAGCCTTCTACTCAGTGGCCAGAGTCAGGGTAGGAAGTGCTGGGTTGTTGGGCACATTTCTTTTTTTAATTTTTTAAAGGGCCTCTGTCTCACACTGTGCTTCCTCTGAGAGGGCGTGTGATTGGCTAGATGGTGGGCGAGTTGTGGAAAACTCAGACAGACTGAGAGTTGGTAATGTTGGCTCATAAAAGTCTTTCTGCAACTTCTGCTTATGAAGGGTCTTCACGTCCCAAGAGTTGATATCCGAGAAAGCCTCGCCTGCCACCCATCCTGGCCCAGGCCATCATCTTTTCTTACATGGACTAACACAAAAGCTCCCTGATTTGTCTCCCTCCCTTCACTTATGTCCCCTCCAATCCAGTCTCCTTACAGGAGACTTCCCCCAGGCAGACCCTGAGTCTAGGATTCCAGTGCGGTAGTTTATCTGGGAGACGATCTCAAGAAACACCCATAGGGAGATGGGAAGTGACATGGGAAGACAGACAATCAATAAAGGGCATGATATAAAGTAGGTCACCACTGTGAGTGACTAGGGAGGGCTTAGTTCCACAGAAAATTTCTGAGAAATGGTATGAAATACATGTTCAGAATTAGCCCACCAAGAGGTGAGGGACTCAAGGCACTTGTAGCCAAATATCCCATCAATCTTTGGTTGAAGGCTGCTTCTGGAGATACGGATTCCCTAGAATCTGGAAAAAGCCCCCAGACAAAGCTATACAGCAGCTGGAATTTGGAAGGTGAACTCTGAAGTTCATAAAGAACCGTTCAGACACAGAAAGCATGCTTCTTTTACAATCATAAATCAGATTGTGTCACACTTCCCCATTAAAATAAGGTAAGGCCTCTCAATGCCCTCGGTATCGGGTTCTTCAAGGGCCCATGGCCCATGTTCTTCTTCTTTTTTTTTTTTTTTAATTTTTTTTTTCAACGTTTATTTATTTTGGGGACAGAGAGAGACAGAGCATGAACGGGGGAGGGGCAGAGAGAGAGGGAGACACAGAATCGGAAACAGGCTCCAGGCTCTGAGCCATCAGCCCAGAGCCCGACGCGGGGCTCGAACTCACGGACCACGAGATCGTGACCTGGCTGAAGTCGGACGCCTAACCGACTGCGCCACCCAGGCGCCCCGGGCCCATGTTCTTCAAGGACCCTAGCATCTGTCCCCAGCCGCATCTCTTGGCACTGAGCCTTGGTCAGTTTCTAAACACACCCAGCTCCTTCTGGTGCAGGGCTTCTTGCTTGGACTTGCTTCTGACTCTTGCTCCCCAGGTTTCAACTCTCCAGACCACCCCTTATTATTATTATTCTCTTTCTCTTTC